ATTTTTAAAAAATTCTTTGAATTCTTTAAAAAATATTACGCAATAAGATAAAAAAGTTTTTTTGGATAAATTTATGAAACGTTCTTTGAGGTTTAGTATGATCATGAAGTTAATTGCATGTTTTGTAGATGCACGTACAATACCGAGAAGTTTTACTATTGGAGTCGGAGTCGCGATTTTGTTTAGCGACTTCGACTCCGCTAAAAATGTTGCAACTCAGCAACTCCGACTCCACAGCCCTGCTTGCAACACATCCCCAGATTTTTTTTTTTTTGTTTATTATTAGATAACTCCTCCTTATTTTAAAAATGTAAAAAAACAACTTTTTTCATTGGGGGTCTAGGGAAATCACGTATTTTAGGCGAGTGCCTAGTAATTTAATTGTTCAAGATAGGTAACTAAAAGCTATAATTTATAAGACTTAATGACATAAGAGAAGAGAAAAAAAGTTAAATAGTAAAAAAATGTTATAAAATATAAAAATATAATTTTATACAGCAAGATTAAACATTTGAATATGTTTATTCTTCATAGTATGTGGCATACTCAAATTTTTAGTATGTTAATACTGGTATCAAATGAGGATGACTAGCATTTGCTATTTGCCGTTGCTGATTGTTAATAATTAAAATAATAACTACTTACACGCGTTGAATTTTGAACTGAAAATATGCTTTTGGTCATTTAATTGAAATTTAATTAGCTGGGCCAAAATATCACTCCAATATTATAAATGGACATCATAAAGTTTTATTTGAAGCATTCTTTTAAAATGCTTAACCATGCAAAAGAACAGGTTGATTTTTCTAAAATATTTTGCATTTGCTGCTTCTGGAAACGCAAGAATTTAAGACCTATAAATAATGAAGAAAAAACAACATAAGTCTAAGTAAAAAGAAAAAAAACTATTCAAACCTTATCAAAACAACATTCTGGAAAGATTATTCAGCTAATAACTTAGACCTTCCTACCATACTTTGCTCAAAATGTGGACAAAAGCTTGCTGGGACTGACCCATACTTCACTATGTGACCGTGTTATGAAGATAAAATATTTATATATAATGTACTTTTGTTAAAATTTAGTTACGTTATTATGGGAACAATAGTTACTAAACATACGCTATGAAATTTAGACTTGAATACCAGAGTTATCAGAGACAGAAGATGTGAATGTTTTGTACATAAAAATGGGCGCAAATCAAAAATGGAAAAATTATTGGCCCCAATGGTTTAATGTGTTTAGGGAAAACCTGTTAATAAAGGTGCCGAATATGTTTCAAATAAACTTGCAAAAACCCTTTGCCTTTAATGAACCAAAAACATCATAATCTGAAAATAATTTTGGATTTAATAAATTTGATTAAATAAATTGAATATTTCTTCCTTAGATTACATAGTATCTGAAGATCTAAAGGTTTTACTTCAAATGGTTGGAAAACAAACTGTAACATTAAAGCACCATTGTCCGTTTTGCATGACCTCATCTCCTAACTTTCAAAAAGCTGATCATTATTCTTTAGAAACTTTATGCAGATTATACGACTAATGAATATCTGATGGTGCAAAATGAAAAAATGAAAAAATGTTTACAAATATTGTTCAACCCCTTTTATTAACAGGGGACAAAAATAAAAAAAATAATAGAGCTTGCAAATATTCTCAGTCTATATATACTTTTAGGTGTTATATATAAAATTTTAAAAGAGATTCAAAAAATTGTTTGAAAACAATGAGTGTGGGTTACAGTTTGTCAACCGATATCTTTCTACAATAAACATCTGCAGAGTATCCTACCAAGGGCAGCATCGTTTGGAAGGCAATATTTGCAATAAGTTTGTCTACCAACATAGACAGCTTTAAGCTGTTTTGAGGAGTCCAGTCTTGAAGGTCCCGTATCCAAATACATTAAGGTACTTTGAGATTATGAAAAAGTAGTCTATGGTTATTTTGGAAAATTATTAAACTCTACTTATGTCAAAGATATAGAGCAGTTTTCTACAAGCTATAGAAATCTAGGAGCTACAATTCCTTTGAAGGTAGATATTATCGAATTCATCGACATGAAAGGTGCAGTCTTCAGTATGATAAATAAATTTTAATTTTGACAAAAGATTAAAATAATATTGTTTAATTGTAACAATAGTAATTAAATAAATGTTATTGCAATAATACAGCAGTTCATGCAAGTTTAAACTTGCATAAATTATGACGATTACTTATTAAATAGACTAAAACTTATTTTGTGTATTTTAAATTCTGTACGCTTAGGTTACTGGACCGAACAAGCTCTCGAATCCATTTACCATGACTTTAATCAGTTTCGGCGAACAAGAAAAGTTGGAGAACAAAGCCCAAACTACATTAAAGCACTAAAAAACGCAGTTGTTGCTTACAACTACAAACACTTTTAAAGTTGCTTTCGATTTGCAGATAGCTTGTAAAAAGTGTAATACTAACCTCTAATGAACAACTGTTTAACATAATTTCTTGATATATGATATAATGATATATGACATGCAAAATAAAAACAATAATTTAACCACATAGACTAGAAATTTTTTTTTTACGGCGATAAAGTAATTGTAGCAAACCCTATTGGACCCCTAATACCCCACCCCTAGTGTATAAATTTTTTTTGTGTTATATTAAACTAGATCAAAGTTTATCGACAGATTTTAAATTTCATCAAAAAAAAATTTTTAGGTTAAAAGTTACAACCATTCAAAGTTATTTCAGGGGGTAAATTTGTGGAATTTTAAACTTCATACGGTCATAAATCTTAAATAAAAAGAGATTTTTTGATGAAACTTGAAATCTGTCGATAAATTTTGGTTTAATTTATGATATAACTTAAAAAAAAAATTTATAACTTGTGAGTGCTTTTCTACAGGTTCTTGTATATTATATTGTTTGTTACTTAAGTACTAAATGCAAGCAGCCGTGGCGCAGTGGTAGCGCACTTGCCTCAGAAACGTAAGATCCGTGGTTCAAACCCCACCTCTGGGCAAGTTTTGTGACATCGGTTAGGAAGGAGGCGTGAACTTCCTATTAAATGCTCTTCCGCGGTGCTCTGTGATAAGACCGTGAGGACTTCTTGGGGCACCTAAAATCAACATAACAAAAAAAAAAAAAAAAAAAAAAAAAAATGCAATGTTCTATAAGTTTCCTGTCAATCAGAGTTTGCGAATGACTTTTTTCATAAGGCAAGTTTTGTATTTTGGGCTATATAGTTTGCTTGTACCTAGGGTCATATATTTGTTTCTCTAATAGAAAATTTGTTTTACCACAAGGCAGATTATTGATTTTCGATTGGTTCAGAGCGGTTTTTTTTTACGTTTTTGTTAAAGAATTACCTTTTTACGAGTAGACTTATTAGTAAATTTTGCTCAGAATTATGAAGAATAAACATATTCAAATGTTTAATCTTGCTGTATAAAATTATATTTTTATATTTTATGACATTTTTTTACTATCTAATTTTTTTTCTCTTCTCTTACTTACGTCATTAAGTCTTATAAATTATAGACTCGCTCACTGTTAATCTTAATTTTATAGATGATTCATTCAAATTTCACATCATGCGTATTCATTTATTGTTGATTGCTTAACTTGTCCACACAGTTGCTTTTTAAGTAGCAGGTTGAGTAGCTTGGTAAATTTTTAGCAATATCTTTTTAAACAAATCAAAATATATAGTTTTTTTTAACTAGTTTTTAGCAGATTAAATTATCTTTCCAATAGTGAAAAAATTATGTAAATCCGACGCACAGTTTATGAGATTTATTAGATTTGATAAAAATTGCTAATGTTTATTTTAACGTTGAATAGCTATTAATTTCTCTTAAAGCTTCTACCGAAAATGCATATGTGCATAAGCCAGGCTGTATAAAAAGCAAAAATTGGTATGGAAATTCTTACAAGCGTTTATGTAACATGAACCCCAAGCATGATTGATTTTTCTTAAAGCGTTTTAATAGCTTCCGTATAAATTTAATATTGCCACGCAACGTTAATAAATTTTGTGAAAACATAAGCAAATAATTTTCTATTTTAATGTTGTCAAAGAAAGATGACTCATAATTCAAATTCCTTATATGTAAAATAAATCAAAAGTTTGATTTTAAGTTTTAAAAAAAGTAAAGTAAAATTGTGAATAATTAGTAGTGATTTTTTCGTTAATTTTTTTTTGAATATGTACCCAATAAAAAACGATGTACCCGATAATAAAACAAAAATTCATACATAAAATTTGTAATACTTAAGAGTAATTAATAAAATAAGAAATAATCACAACACACCCAAGTTAGAGTAACGTTAGGATTTAAGCGAAACTAGTGTTTTCGTTAATTGATAACAAACAGCGTTTTTAATATACGGTTTAATCTGCGGTGGTCAGATTAAAAACTCGTAATCCATCTGAAACATATTACTCAGTATTTATAATTTTAGTATGAAAAAGCGATTAAAATCTTTTTTTTTAAATAAAAGAACGCTACAATTTTACTTAGCTTTAGCACTGCGTTCTTCTTTGTAAAATAAATCACGGTAATCACCTTTAATTTATAAATCACAGTAAATTAATTAAATTAAAGAGAAAAGGTAATCAAATAAACTTTTTCACCAACTAAAAATAAGACTGCTTTTAAAACGTAAAAATAAACGATAGGAATATCTCAAAAATAACATAATTTTAATATCTCAGAATAATATCGAACGAAGCCATTATAAGGACTTATATAGACGTCGCAAAAAAAGTTTGCTTTGTCTTAACGCACAGTAAAGAAACCACATGAACAAAGAAACCAAACCGTTGTCAAAACTATCGTCACAGAAACAAGTTTTTCAAATTTTCGCGTCATGTTTTAAATAAAAATATTTTTTTACAATAGAAATTAATAATTTTACCTAATGATTGCATATGCGTAACACTTGAAAAAAAAGTGAATATTTTGTAATCTTGCTTGTGATTTTAAAATTAAAAAATAATAATAATAAAAGTTAGCGAAATAAGCCGTATCGGCTTCTGGACAATTTTGTATTTATAAAAATATACATTACAAATATGTATTTTATTAATTTTTTTCTGTATCTTCGTGTTCTCCGTTCTTTTAATGTTAAGCGAACTTATTCGTAGGAAGTATTTTTCATTGGAGAGCATTCAAGCGTTTTCTTCTTTAAACATTGAATGTAACCTTTTGTAGTGAGAATGCGGTCCATCTATTCTACTCGAAATATTCGTCTTATATTTAGTTAACTATCCATGCATGGCTAAATAACTATAAACTTTAATAATTATTAGACTAAGCGTGGTTGAAGAAGTCCTTGATTAGCTTTATATATAACAATAGTGTCCTGACTCGATTTATAATTGTTAAGCAAATTACTGTTTCTGTCCTTTTTTGATAAAACGATCGTACTATAACGTTTTTTGTAACCATGTACAAGTATAGCGATAGCAACAATCAACGCTATGGATCCTACTATTATTCCAATAATTATCCATGTTATTATTTGCTTGCTTAATTTTTTTGAACTTTTCTGATGAATGAATTTCTAAATGTCAAAAATAACGAAATAAAGTTTAGTACAAAAAAAAAAATTAATTTGTTATTTTTTATTTATAATTATTTATTTGTTACTTTTTATATTGTTGTTTTTATACAATTACTTTATTCAAAAATTGAAAAACTAACATGGCAAAATTAAATTTTTTGTGACTATTTGCTTAGTGTGATTTAGATGGTGATTTTTTAGTTGGTGTGGAGAGTTTAAGAACTTTAAAAAATTTTTAATTCTACAGTAAAACTTTTGAAACACGAAAATTTAAATTTTTATTTTAAATTTACTTTTTTATCATTATTTATTTATCATTATTTATTAACATTATTCATTTATGATTATTTATTTACATTTATTTATTTATCACTATTTATTTACGTTATCTATCATTATTTATGATTGTTTATTTACATTATTTATTATTACATATTTAATATTCATTATAGGAACTGAAATAACTGAAAGGGATTTAGTACATATATTGACTGAAGGTTTGGGTTTGTCAATCAAATCATACAAAAACGGACTTACAGGAGCATATTGAGCTGTTATATGATCATTGACTTCATAGGGTTTAATTGGAGTAAAATATGGCTGAACTGGAACGTCAACTGAGCCACTTTTACTAACCATGGGACCTTTAATAAATAATATAAAAGCTTAAAACATAATAAATACAAAACAAAATGAGTATTTTTATAATCTAAAACCTAAATAAAAATTTAGAACTTTATAACTAAAAAATAATGTTTAAACCTGCACTATCTCTTGAACTTAATACTTTAGACTTTACTACATCGCAACCATTCTTAATGTTTCCGACCATTTGGAAACGACTACTCTCTGTATTTAACGTTTTGTAAACAATATCTATCTAAAATAATTTTTTTTTTATAAATATAGTTTTAAATAAATGTATTTATAATTAATCTTTATATTTCAAAATTAATAATTTAAATCAAAAATAAAATTTAATTTAAAAAGTTTTTAATAAATTTAATTTATAATTTTCTAAATTTATTTTTAACTATTTCTAGACTTTTATTTATCACTTATCATATTTATTACATTTTAACTTTACCTAATAAACATAAGACATGTTTAACAAATCTAAAAAACATTTTAACACATTTTAGTATGTCTTGAAGACTTTTAAACCGAAATCTAAAACTTACCCTGGTGGGAAGGGGGCCCTTCACCTATAAACTTTTTAGTTCACATACAGTATATTTTTTTTCTTTTTTTTTTGCCATTTCATACAAGTATTTATGAAATTAATTTTTTCTGAAGTAACCTAGTTTATTTTTTACAATAAAACTTTTTTTTTTGGGATAAGATCTAGTGTCTACTTTAATCATGTCTTCAATATAAAAGTTCAAGTCAAAGTTTGTTTGTTTAATTGGTGGGGAGCCCCAATGGTTGGTGGGGGCCCATGTATACTGGCACATCCTGCCCATACCTAAATATGGGCCTGATTTTCTGGTTGTGTTGATCTGTAAAACACTTATATTAGTTACCTCATTAAATAAGACTTCTTGTAAGCAGCCAGAGAAATTATTTTTACTTTTTGAATTCACAATTGTATCAAGAACTGGATGTCCACCAATGAAAAGATCTTGGATATTAAACTTACTGAACAAACCAGGAGTTACTTTTTTAAGTGTATACCTAAATTTAAAATACTAGTTAAAATATACTAAAATATTATAAATTAAAATAAAAATTTATAATTAATTAATTAATAAAATATTAACTAAAATAAAAATATTAAAAAAAAAAAAAAAAAAAGAAGAAAATTCTAATTAAGTTGTAAGTAAATAGGTTTTTAACCTTAAAAAATTTACTTATTTTATCTACTATATGATTTTTAAATTGCATGCTTAGCTCTAAATGATATCATACTAAAACAGCCGTAAACAGGGGTGTTAGTACACATATCGATTGAGTTTTTAGATTTGGATAAGCAGTATTTAGCAATCACAATTTTGGATTCAAAATTATTTTTTTATTATGCATAGGCAGTGACAGAATAATGCAACACTGTGACATATTGGTAATAGTTGTAGAACACTACACCATTAATGCAGTAGTGGTAGAGTAATGGTTTTGTAAGCAAAGTTTAGTATATTTAGTTTTATATTTATATTTATATATAAATTTTTATATATAAACACTAGCTTGATTCCCTACCATATCGCTTTACTTCCCTGTTCAGTGGCTGTATTCATCAAGATATGTTGTGCAGATATTATGTTGTGCAGTTAAAAGGTTGAAAGCGAATTCAAATAACTATAAAAAATCTTACAGCAAAAGTGGCCACACATCCTCAAATAAAGTATAAAGTATTAGTTGATAATGTTCTGATAAAAGTTTATGATTGCTTAGAACAATATGAATTTTATCTCTTTGCATTAAATAAATAACAATGTAGAGATAAAATACATAGATAAAAAGATAGAGATAATATTATTATTAATTTATTATAATAAATACAATAAATTAATAATAATATAGAGATAATAAATAAGAAGATAATAATAAAAAGATAAATGCAATGTTAATATAAATTAATTAAATTTAATATAAAAAAACATAATAAACATAACGTTTATAACAAAATAAAAAAACAACAAATGCTTACTTTTTATCAACTGTTAATGCAAATTCTCTTCCATTTCTCTTTAAGGACACTAAATGCCATCCGCCATCATTAAATAATATATCAGCAATTTCTAGTAAATGGTAACCTAAACCCAGACATCTTTTATCAATATATTTATATACTGTATATTTAATAGTATGTGATAGCAATGTCATAGTTAAATATGTTTATGTAAAAATTGACTATGAATACAATATGAGTTAACTACACTTGTGATTACATATAAACTTTTGGACGCTAGTAGCATCCAAAAGTTTTCAGCGCTGCCTACATTGATTGATCAGTGCCAAAAATAAAATAAAATACCACCTGTATCATTAAAGATGAATATGAAATCATATATTAGGAATAATATATTTTTTTATTATAAAATAATCAGTGTATATTAATTATTATTGAGAATAGTTAGTTTGATTTATTTTTAATCTTTATATATTGTCGCCGCTTTCATTTCGAGAGTATTATTTTGAATATATATTTCTTTTTCAATGTAATATAGTAAAATAGCAATCTCTAATGAGCCAATGATCTTCTACTTCTAATTATTACTTAAATTCTGCTCGATGTATTTTACGGACGAACGCTTACATTATCATGTAATACATTGTGTGATCAAAAGAAATTTTTTGAAAATAGATAAGGTTTCAAAAATAGTAAACACGAGCTCATAAATTTCATATTTCACATTTATTACATTATTCACATAAATCATAAAATTGAATTATATATTATTTATATATAATTCAATTTTATAATTAATAATAATTTATTTTATACATAAATCGCATAATGAAATAAAGTTATAATTACAAAGTCTCAGCAAAAACAAAAACAAATGTCGTTTAATTATAGAGTAAAATTATTAGCAAGCGATTGCACGCGTCACATCAAAGAATACCAGTAAAAACACTTTAACTAATTCAGTTGATATAAAATACCAAACAAAAAAAAGAAAAACAATAACTAAAAGACTTTCCGTAATAACCGTAATTGATCAAAAGGTATCTGACAAAAACTTCTCGATATTTTTGTTGACGAAATACATGTACTACTAAAAACTAAAGTTGAGTTTACGGTTAGACTTATAAGTTGTTTAACTTTTTAGCCAAAAAGGGCGAAATTTTAAAGGGATTCCAAACTCCCAACACATGTTGTGTTCATATTAAAGATAATGTTAAAAAAAAAGGTTTGAACCAAGTTTTTTTGATTAAAAATAAATAATGAATGCATACCGAGAAAAACTAATGTTGTTGTTTTAGCCGAAGCTCGCCTTCTCTATTTTTATCAATAACTTGGAGTCTTCAAATTATATGTCACAATCTACAGACTTTGGCGATTCCTTTGAAGCGCGTTTAATTCATAAAAGTTTTAGCATTTGACATCAAGGTATTAATTAAACAAAGCTATTTTAATTCAAAAAACATATTTTGAGCATAGAGCAAAACAACTTTTACAACAAATTTTTGTAAAAATCAAAAATAATAAAAGCTTTTTATTTCATAGGAGGAACTTTTTTTTTACCGATATCTTAATAATTTTTAGATTTATATATCTTACTTATAATTCTTTTGTTTTTAAATTAAAACAAATATTAAAGCTTTACTTGTGAATCTTATGATTTTCATAGTAGTGTTTTACATTATATATAATGTTATGTATACGGTCTCTCGTTTTTGTGCAAAAGAGCGCAGTATTATATATTCTGAATCTTACTTATTTTTATTTATACAATGGGAACTTTTTTCTAACTTCTCTGGTTATTTTTATGCTATGATATTTTTTGTTTTTCCGTCGAAAAAAAGTATTTATTAACAAATAATTTCATAAATTGAAAGTATTAATTAGAGATATTTGATGAATTGTTAACTTTTCCTATTATAAAACTTTTTTGATTACGTTTAATTACTTTAAATTGCTAAATTAGATACGGATAAATAGGAAATATCATTTTATTTTACATTTGATTTTTAATAATGAAACTTTTAAAATGTCGGCAACTCCATACCAATTAGAACCTGTTAAGGTTATGAAAAAAAAGTACAAGAATATAATAAACAATACAGTTGACAGTAGTATGAGATACTAAAGTTTGTGAAAGGATATGTGAAATCCTGGTTTTGCATTAAAAGTACAATTAATAGCAGTACAAGTTGGCATTATAAATTTTGATTATAAGTTTACTGTTCAATATTTTATAACCATCAAATAAAAAACATGAAGTTTGCATATTATCGCCCTTTTTATACAACTAATATGTAACAAAAATACGGACAAATTATTATAATATAACGCATTAATTAATGACAATAATACAAGATAAATGGTAATTTAAATTGTCAAAATGTCATAATGTGCCTTAAAAAACATTATATTTGGTATTTCCCAATTTGTATCGTATTTGGCATTTGCCTTTTAACATGAAAAATTAAAAAAATTTTAAAACACAACAAATACAAATTTTCAAGCAATTTTCTCTTCCATTTTTCATTTATTCAAAGAAAAGTTTTAAACTTTAATTTCTCTGATCTAAAAAAAAGAGCAAGTGAAGCAAAAAAAAAAAAATGTTCTATACAACTCTTACTCCTTCGAAGTTTAATTACGTGAAACTTTTCTTTGTCTTTTGTTCTACTCTTTTATAAAAAGAGCGAGCAATGAAATAAAAACTTTTCTTCTTTAACATAAATTTATACTTAGAGATAAAATTAAATTAGAAATAAAGCAACAATGAACAAAGCAACTAACAGATTAATCTGGGACTATTTTGATACTAATGAAAATAGTCAACATAAACAATATTACCAACAACAATTGTCAAATAAACAACACAATATTGCATAATTTTAGGGGCTTTTTATCTTTATTGCTTAGTCGTTCTAAATAATAAGTAAATTTAGTTCAAGTTAATATTTCAATATTTACAGTTGCAATATAATAAAAAAATGATGTTTAATGTTGAACTTTTTATTTAATTATCTATTTTTTACCTACATTTGTTATAAAAAAACTTTAGAACCCCCGTCATTAAAACAATTTGTTTTGAATCTATTTCAAAGTGATCATTCAAACTAATTTTTTTGCTTGACTTCCCGAACTTCAAGCAAAGGAAATTGAGACGAAATATTGTCTAACCAAATAAAAATGCTTTAAATAGTTTTGTAATATATGGCACAATAACAATTTATAGCAACGAACCAGCATAAAATATTTGAGGTTTTTAATATCTTTTTAAATGTTAAAAATAGGAAAAAAAAAAAAAAAACTGCTAATAATCAAAAAAAATTTGAATAAAAATAAATAAAAATATTTCCAGAGTTTCATTTGTTAAAAGTCTACCATGACGTCAAATACTAAAACTTTTATGAATTAAACTCTCTTCAAAGGAATTGCCAAGGTCTGTAGATTGTGACATATAATTTAAAGACTCAGAGTTATTGAATAAAATGGAGAAGGCGAGCTTGGGATAAAACAACGTTAGTTTTTATCGGTATGCATTCATTACTTATTTTTAATCAAAAAAACTTGGTTCAAACCTTTTTTTTTAACATTATCTTTAATATGAACACAACATTTGTTGGGAGTTTGGGATCCCTTTAAAGAAATAGCATTTGCGGGTGTTAAACCAAACAAGTTTGTTATTATTTTGGATCTTTTAGATTAGTACTTTATTTTTTGCTAACTTTTTTATATAATATTTGCTGTTGTTGGAATGAATTGCAAAAAATTATTTTTAAACTTTTTTGCAAGTTGCCACAAAAATCCCAAAAATCCCAATTCTCATGATGTTTTTTCCTAGAAACCAATTTTCGCAGTTATGCAATTGCGTTTTTATACCAATAATGGCGATTTGATTTCATGTTTTACGCAATTATTGAATTAGAATTTTTTTATGTTATGTTTCTTTTAATTTTGAATAATAATTAACTTCAAATTATTTTTAGAATTATTATTAAACTTTAATTTGGAAACTTTATTTGGAGAATGGGATTTTTTTATCTTTAAATTTGGAATTTTAATTTTATAAGCATTTGGGAAAACCACAGGGCTAGTTTACACCCTGTATACATATATATATATATATATATATATATATATATATATATATATATATATATATATATATATATATATATATATATATATATATATATATATATATATATATATATATAAATATATATATATATATATATATATATATATATATATATATATATATATATATATATATATATATATATATATATATATATATAATATTCGGCAATGCCAACCTGAAAGTGTTTGAGGTCGGTGAAAAACTGCCGACCTTGTTTCTATATTTTGTGGTGAGACCTTTGTATCAAATAATTTTTGCCGACCTGATGCCAACCTAAAAAAGATTGAGGTCGGCAAAAATGGTCGACAATTGCCGACCTCATTTTTCCTGATTCTAAGGGTTGATTTTTATTTATTTATTTTATATTATATTTCATTTTTAATTTCATTTATTTACAAAAACGATTAATTACAATAATATAACCAAATTTAAACTTTGCTGTAACCCTAACCCTAAGCCTAACCCTAAGCCTAACCCTGCTGTAACCCTAACCCTAACCCTAAGCTTGACCTTGATGCCTGGCCTAACTAAACCCTCAGTTGATGTAGCAGCACTCCTTTGCGAGTCAGGCTATTTGATAGTTGATGTATGTACTTTTGGTTCTCTAAAAAAGTTTCTTATGGGTACATTTAAAAAAAAATAATAATAATGTTTACGTCCTTTTTCTAAAAATAATGCTTACAAAAAAATAATGTTTACAAAAAATTAACGGGTACACTAAAATATTCCCGATAATGCTAATGTTCCCGTAAGTGTTAGTTTTTTGTAAAATCTGTGCCCGTAAGTGAAAAACTATACAAATATATATATATATATATATATATATATATATATATATATATATATATATATATATATATATATATATATATATATATATATATATATAGGTATATATTTTTAGTTTCCTGAAAGTTTACATTATTGGGCTTCCGCCCTTTTTAATATTCACTGATTCATATTAAAAAGCCCTAATATATATATATATATATATATATATATATATATATATATATATATATATATATATATATATATATATATATATATATATATATATATATATTATATATATATATATATATATATATATATATATATATATATATATATATATATATACCCCAGTCAAAATGTGGGGATATATATATATATATACCTCAATCAAAATGTAGGGATATATATATATATATATATATATATATATATATATATATATTTATACATACACCCCAGTCAAAATGTGGCCATATTACCCTGGGGTAATATGGCCACATTTTGACTGTTTTTTTTTCAATAACTTACTAAATACAAGAACTATAAACTTGTATATTTTATTCATCTAAAATGGGGTGATTTGGCCACTTAACAAAAAAACCTAATTTAAACAACAAAATATTGCAATGCATATTTCAGAAATTAATGAAAGTCGCAAATCACAAAACTAGATTATCAAATAAAATACAAAAAAAAACTAATAAGAGCTATAAATTTGTGAACTTTATTCAAGAATAACTCATACAAGATGCACATTATATGTGGAAATTCACATTATTTGACCTCAAAACTTTAACTCGTTTATTAATGAAAATCATTTTTGAAATATAAAAATATAGTGTAGTTGGCCACTTGACAAAAAAACCTAATTTAAATCTTATCATCATAGTTCATTACATTAGGATAATGTTCTTGATCAGGTTGTGCAGATTGTTTAAGAAAAAAACAACAACACGCTGTTCTTCACTTACAGCTGCATGGCTCTTTAAAATATTCTGAACAATTTTTTATAAAATTAGGTTGCTGAATCTTTTCAAAAGAATCTGTAAGCCTAATATTGCCCAGAGAAGTTCACTTTTGTTTGTTAAGGATACTTTTGATAAAGTCTTTTAATGTAGCCAGATCCCAAAGCTCTTCATCCTGCTGATGAGGTGCTTTGTAATTGCTCAACTTTGGTTAATGACAAGCTCTTACTTAGGAATAATTTCATAAATAATTTCTAAGAGTTAATCTAGAAACTTTGTTGGTCTCAGAGGCCCTTTAACTGGAATACCGACAGCAATGGCCTTCATAGCCTTGTCCACTTGCTCTATAGGGTGGTTACTATGTATAAAATCTTGTATGTGCATGGCATACTGCAACTGATTTAAAAAAAAATTTGACTAATTTATCAACCAAATCATTAAGTGGCCACATTACCCCAACTTTTAAAATGGCTCATCTACCTCACTTACCTTAAGGTAATTGTTTTGAGCTTTATAATGCCCTTACCTAAGTAGCTCATAGAGCTCTGGTTTGTCCAAATTGCCCCTCAAATTCTTGCTAGGCAATAGTTAGCGTTTTTAAAATCTGAAAAGACAAAAACAATGACACGCGAACAACACTCAACAACAAGAGTATTATTATTTCAAATTTTTTGTAACAGAAATTAAAATTAATTTTAACATTGGGCTATAAAAAGCATATAGAGTGGGACACTGCATTTTTCAAAACTTTAGATGATTTTAGCAAAAAACTGATAAATATACAAAACTGGACATATTACCCCACAGAGGCAATATTACCCCACCTGATGGTATATATATATATATATATATATATATATATATATATATATATATATATATATATATATATATATATATATATACATATATATATATATATATATATACATATATATATATATATATATATATATATATATATATATATATATATATATATATATATATATATATATATATATATATATATATATATATGTATATATATATAATTTTATAAGATTCTAGAAAAAAATTGTAAAAAGTAAACTAACCTCCCCCTAAATCAATGCTCATTCTCACAATACCATGGTATAACTCAATCATTATATGATCACTTTTACTATACGCAACCAATAGTAGCCCATCTGATCTTGTTTTAAATCTCATTATAATTGTGTTTTCAATAGTAGATTTCAAAGGATCTGGTAATTCTACATCAATGTACCCATGACCATCAAGCTGTATTGAGTCGCGTTCTAATAAAATCAAACATGTATAAATATCTTATACATACAAACAGAAGTTATATAGTAAGTATATTACATATAAGTATTATTTCATCATAGAATAATAAAAGTATACTTAAGTTTATTTTTGTAAACTTAATTCACCACCCCACAGACGAGGAGGAGGCTACTCATACTCTTTTAATTTTATTCAACTTTGTCTTAAAAGTTGAGAAAGGATTTACAGGTAAGTGAATATCAAAATCAAATCAAAATCAAATGTGTCTGCGGGACATTTACAAACTTTAAACAAATTTAGTCATGCGGGACATTTATAAATTATAAACTGATAACGTGTAAAGACTTATTATGGTAGAAAGTATAATAGTAATATTAATAATAAGAATAATATAATAGTAATAATAACGATAACAATATAAAAAAAATAATATTAAAATCAATAATGTAAAACAGTATAATCTATATATATATATATATATATATATATATATATATATATATATATATATATATATATATATATATATATATATATATATATATATATATTTATATATATATATATTTTTAGTACTATATTCAAATTATAGCATTTGTAGCAAAAAGTGATTATCATTAATAATATTATTAAATAATATACATTTTTTAATATAAATTTTTGTTATGTTGTCAAGGTATTTGTATGAAGCTTATGATCTATGGTTATTAATAAGTTATATAATTTTATACTTTTTTACAGTCCACTAGTAAAAAGCATATGATTTCTTTATGTTTTAGATAATTTGAGCCTCAAAATAGTGACAACTATTTTGATTAATATGAAATCTTTTTACAAAATCATTTTAAGATATTGACATTTGATAAAGTGTTAATAAAAGCAATCAATACATCTATCTATCTTAAAAAACTGTGCTACTGCTTTCGCTTTTCCTCTAACACTAATTTTTATGGAGTCAATAGAAAAAAGTCAACTTCCAAATCAATTTAATTCAGCAAATATAACTGCACTACATAAAAAAGGTGACAAGACTGATCCTGAAAATTATAGACCTATATCACTTCCATGTATTACACAAAAATCATGTCGATTAGTCCTACTGATGAGTTACATAATAAACTACAATGTGATTTGAACTTTGCGTATGCTTGGACACAAGATTGGTTACTTAATTTTAATAATGACAAATGTTTAGTTATGCACTATGGCTATATAAATAAGAGATACCCAATTTATATAAATGGTTGTAAACTCAACATATCAGATTCAGAAAAGCATCTAGGAGTGATTTTTTCAGATAACTTGAAGTGGAAAAATCAAGTTTAATCTAGTGCAAGCAAAGCAAACCGCATGTTAGGTATAATAAAAAAATCTTTTCTTCAATTTGATGCAGAACTGCTAAAATCTCTATATCTTTCCTTTGTTTGACCACTCCTAGAGTTTGCTGTACCAGTTTGGGCTCCTTATCAAAAATGAGATATTGCGATTTTGGAAAGAATACAGTGTCGTGCCACTAAATTGGTACCTTCAATCAAAAAATTATGCTATGAAGATCGACTAGCTTATCTTAGAATGCCCTCACTAGTTATAAGAAGACAACGTAGTGACATAATTCAATTGTTTAAAATTTTTAAAAGTTACGATAAAGTTGAATTTAAAGAAAATAAGTCCTTAAAATGTAATTGTACTCGTGGCCATAACCTAAAGTATTCTAAAGAATTTTCTGTACATAATATAGAGAAAATATTTTACTAAATCGAGCTGCAAATTATTGGAATGCTTTAAAACCACACTCACTAGTAGCAATACCAGTCACAGCATAAACTAATACTAATACTAATAAATTGATAAAATTCTAAATAAGTTTCAACAATCAAAATTTTCCAACATTGAATTTCATTAACATATTTTGACAAAACATATTAATATATAATAACTAATATATAAAATTACTGTCTGGTTAATTGAATGCATGGAATTATTCACAAGGTACAAGCCATCAACTATATTGTATAAATTATTACTATTGTTATTATTATTGTATTTTTAATTTGATAAAATAATGGGAATGTGATTTCCTTCACACCATTATAACAACTGTATGTTTAACAAAAATAAAATGTATAGAAACTATATCAAAAGAATAAGGATAAAGTGCAGTTTAAAAAAATGAAATTAAAAAAAGATGATAACACCAACCTTTGCTGCAGTTACTACCAAAATACCCTGTTCCAACACAATCGCATTTGGCTGAAGTAAAATAGTTGATGCAATGTCCATTATTTTCACATGTATTTGTTGTGCATGCATCTAGACAGCCATCTTTTACTCCCTCAGATGACAAAGTCTGATTGTCAAATTCTTCCCAAACACCAAAATTATTTTTACCTTTGAATCTAAAATCTTCAACACAACCAACAAATCTGCTTCACATAAATAGTAAAGACAAAAGTCAGCATTTAGTAAATTGGCACAATGGTTAGTCGAATGTTAGTAGTTTTACAATATTATATAATTATATTACTGCCAAGGCCGGCGTGATAGGGGTGTGTGGGTGTGTGACCAATGATATATTAAGAATAACAAAATAATAATAATAATAAAAAAAAGAATAATAAAAAAAGTTATTTTTAATATATCATTGGGTGTGACAGCCCCCTCCCCTCATCATGATTTTTAGTCGGCAAATTTGGCCCTTAGTCGGCGGCAAATTTGACCAGTTAGTCGGCAAATGTAGACCCTGTCGATAAATAAGTTGGTAAATTTCGACATTCAGTCGGCAAATGTCGTCATGGCAATCGGCAAATTTTCAAAAACGAGGACCTTTTTTTTTTTTAGTCAGCAAAAGTTGTAATAGCACCCCCTACCCCCCACGTGACACCTACTCGCGCCGGCCCTGATGGCCTATATGATATAATTATAACATAATATAATTTATTTTCAATTATAAATGTTACTCTAAAAAACGTTTTTATGAATAAAAACTTATTAGATTCTACTCTACTTTTAACCTTAATATATACTTATAAGATGGTAATACATTATATATTTATATATAACACGGTTATTTACTATTTATTTACTAGGCCAAATTATATTCAATACTTGTTGCCTATCCAAAATAATGCTAAAAATTCTATTAAATCCTAATTTTAACTTGAAAGTTTTTTTTTTTTTTGAATAAAAAAAAGTTAAAAAAATATAAATAATAAAAATAACTAAGCCATATAAAAAGAGCAAATTTAATTTTTGCAAATTTAAGGAGCTTTTTTTTTTTTTTGTAATACCTAGTGGAAAATTTTTTAAGATTTTGGAGCCCTAATGGCTGGTTTTGGACCCACTAGCCATGGCACTACATATAAATGTAACATAATACTTACTGATAAAATATTTTGTAAATAGGGTAGGATTGTTGGGATAATATGGATATATTCAATAAGTATGCACGGAGTAAGTTATCTATACATAATGCCAAAATCTGAAAATTACCAATAGTTTATGCACATAATGAGCTTCTTTTTTTTTGCATTAACAATTTTTATATTTGGCTAAGATGAATAGTTCAAATGTAAAACTTTTCATCTAAGTCAAAAGCCATGTATAACAAAAATATAAAAAACACTATGTTGCAAAACTTTTGTCTGCAGACTTCAGTAATATTATTTATCCAAGAATAATGATGTAAATTTATTAGTTGGACCATGATTTAACAACATGTAAAATTTAATTTTTAAGTTTCATAAACTATATCGATAAATAAACAAAAATCTAAAATGGGGTAAAATAGATATACAGGTAAAATGATAGTGGGTTAAAATAAATATATATATAAAATATATAAAATTCTATTAACATTATAGAATTTTGTTAAAAAATCATCAGCTACATGACATTTATTTATATACTTATGCTCACTTTTGCTTTTAAATAAAGTATTAAACATTTTTCAGTTACATATAATAGTTTTATATAATGCTACTGAACTATTTACATTAAGATCATAGTTCAAATTTGTTTTCCCAGAATGCTAGGGTGAAACTTTAACTACTATCTAAATATTTTATACTTTATTTTTGTATTCCTCATTTTATTCATTTTATTATCATTATTTACCTTATAATTAAATTTTATATTTTATATAATTAAAGTTAATTTTATCATATTTTAGATAGAATAATGACTGAAATAAATTATCATGCCTGAAATAAAATATCAATGCGAGATTATTGATACATATATCACAACAAATTAATGATTTCCATACAGCTTGTTAAGGAAGGGGAGTCAGTATACAATGTGTCAAAGTCTTCTGGCCAAAAATGGGGTAATATGGATATATGAAAGGTGTTGTTAAAAAAGGATTAGTAAGTTAGTTATTGAAAGTGTATTTATGTTCTACTCATTGTGAAGTTATTGTATACACCCTGAATGTAAAGAAAAATAACAAAAGTTTTTATGGTGCTTATTAACTAAAATATATATATATATATATTAAAAAAATATATATCTAAAATTCTATCCATTTTACCCCACCCCACACTATACTTTATAAAATTTATTTTAAGTTCTTGATAAAAATTTGATAAAAAATACGTTATACAAAAATGAAAAAGATACGGTTTTCCTAAATTACCGGAATTGAATCCAAGTGTTTTTGTCATTAAAATTAGAGGTGTACCGGATACTTTTGCCGGATTCGCCGGATATTGAACTTATCTGAAGTTCAATAAGTGTTTATGAAGAAAAAACAATTCTTGACAGTCTACAATATATAGTGATTTTACTTTAAAAAATTAAGAGAAAAACTGTATGACATAGGATAAGTGTTGACGAAGTATAGAAAATAGTAATTAAAAAAAACAAAAATTTGGTTGTAAAAATAATTTTTCCTTATACATTATTAACGCATATACCTGTGCTATACCAGTTTTTTCTTGATTTTATTATCTTTAATTTTGAACACTGTTTAATGTAGAATAGCAAGACTTGTTTTTTCTTCATAAACACTTATAGAATTTTTGAAAAGTTCAATATCCGGCATATCCGGCAAAAATATCCGGTACACCTCTAATTAAAATACTAGTAATTTTAAAAAAATGTCGTGAAAAATGTCGTGAAAAATGTCGTGAAAAATGTCGTGAAAAATGTTTTTTTATCTTTTCAAAAATGCCGCCATTTAATTTAAGTTTATTTTCAAAAAAATTGAAATATTTATATTATTACAGATTTTCGCATAAAAAAAAAAAAAAAAAATTAATTAGAAAAAAACTTTTCTTTCTTTAAGCAATTAAATTTATTAAAAAAAAGACCTTGTGACTTCAATTCCCTTGTCAAATTTTGTCTAAAATTTTCTCTCCCCCTATTTTGTTGACAAAATTAATAGACAGCGCGTTTCGTTAAAAATTACAGTGATTGACGGCTGGTAAAAATTTACTAATTTCGATTTCACATCAGTAATATTAATATTGATTTCGGTTTTGTGTCAGTATTATTATTACTGATTTCGATTACAAACTTAAATTAAAAACCACTTTGTTATAAAAAATTTTCAAACAGCTAATTTTTTTTTTTTTTGAAATGCAATAACCCAATAACATTTTATTGCTAATCACTATTAGGACAAAGACAAAAACATATCTATGTTTTAGGTCTTTTAGCCACTGTTTAGCAAAAATCGCTTCAAGTTTGAATATAAATTTGTTCCTAAACACAAAATTATAATTCGAAAACTTTTTTTATTTTTAAACAAAATTATAGAAAATGCTCTTTTTGTAAAAAAAGTTGGCTTCTTCAAATTTTATAAAAAATAAACAATTGCAACCAGTTGTTGAACATGACATTAGTTAACGAATTCGGTGCATGAGAATAATAAGGTTGTACCTAACAATTTTTGACCTTGTATAAATTTAACTTTTAATCTTTAATTTTTAAATTTGATATTAAATGTTAACTTTAAGTTTAAATGTTAAATTATTATAACATAAAAAAATACTGAAAGAATCTTATGCGGCACAATGATCGACATGCAACATAATGTTACGAAGCACTTGATCGACATGCAACATAATGTTACGAAGCACTTGATCGACATGCAACATAATGTTACGAAGCACTTTTGTTGGCATTTTTTTTATAGAAAAAGTTGGAAAAAAAACAACCTAAAAAATAACTTTTTTTAAGTTTTTTTTTATTGCAAATTTTATTACAAATTACACGCAACAAATTTTAGAAATGTTGTTTAGCTCTGCAAAAAATAAAGGTTTACAATGATAAATTTATTTTGAAAAAAATATAAATAACAAAAAACTTTTTGCAGACTTCAAATAAAGGTACTTTTTTTAAAGTCTGCAGACAAATATATAAGATAATATATAAGATAAACCTTTATTTACCCTAATAAAGGTTTATCTTATATATTTTCGTAAATAGATGTTGTATGTTTTTATGAGTAAATTTTACTTTGAAGTGAAAGAATATTATTAAATTTTTATTATCAGGCTGAATAATTAATAATTAAATCCAATTATATTAAGTTTATCAGATTTAAATTGCATAATATAGATTTTTAAATAACATTTTGAAGCACTTAAAACCCTTTTTAGAGAGCATTTTTAGTTTTCTTAATCTAAATATATAAACAATATTTTTTAGTTTCGTTTTATGGCAATCTTTAAGTGTATAAAATGGAAATTTTCTTCAGTATGTATCGCCCTACAGCAGGTGGTATTTTAAAACCTACACAACAAAATCATTCAACACCTATTAAACTACCTTATTTTTCTGTCATTTAACAATGTAAAGTTAAGTAAAATTATAAACAGGAGTGCGCGAGAAAATATAATAAAACAAAAAAAATTAATTATTTTCTTATTAAATATTAGAAATAAGTTTAACGTTGTACGCCTACTTTATGAATTAAGGTGAGTTTTCCCTCATCTGTTTTTCTATGGGAACGGGATAGGGAAGGAAAAAATAATTAGTTAGCATGCGTAGTTTTCCTTCGGACAACTTAAAACTTATATTACGCATGCCCACGTGATTATTTTTTCCGTTCCGTAAAAAAACGAATGAGTGGAAACTTTCCTTTACGGTTACAATTTTCAGACTTATCTTTGAAACGCTTAATTATTGTTTTACTTATAAAATAGTCGGAATTTTATTTGGATTTCGGACTTTTAGCAAATATTAGACGAGCAAACATTTGGATTTAAGTTTAGTAATTTAGACATCTGCCTTAAATAGATAAGTAAATAAAATATTGAAAACCAATGGGATTGTGGGATTAATTTTTTTAACCTCGATTTATTTTTATCGCAAAAATTCTTCGTAAATCAGTTTTCGAGATTGGATGTAATCTACTTATCGCAACTTCTTAAAAACACGAAAAACCACAATCAAAAATATATTGAATGGTTTCTAATTTTAAAAACCCAACTATTCAATTCAGTTCTGGTTTTTTAATATATATTAATCAAAAATTAATTTATTTTGTTTCATTTTATATAAATATATATATGTATATTTTTTAAAAGTTCATATGAATATAAAGGTATCAAAATGAGAAGAATAAATTATATTATTATTAATAAAAAATAAAGAACTTTTATTACAACAAACACAGACAAGATTTTCTAAAGAGATTAAATCTGATTGGCACACACGTTAAGCACGCCGCGCGTGCCCTACTTTGTTATATTGCAATATTGTACTTTCCAAGGTACAACTACTTATAGAATAGCATGCAATTTTAAATTAATTAATAATAAAAAAAAACTAACCATATATAATCCAAAAAAATAATAATAGATATAACAGAAGAAAATAAATTAAAAATAATAAAACAATAGATAAAAAATCAAATAAAAATTTCAAAAAAAACAAAAAAATTTAAACCTTAAATATAGCACTTAACAATTTATAATAGTAATAGCTATAAAATTCTAAAAAATAAAAACTTACCTAGGCATAGCTAAAACAGCCCCATCAACAATATTGGTTGCTAGCTGATCTGAAACTCCTCCAAGATAAATATCAGAGTTCAAATCCAATTCGTCGTATTCCCCATCATTTTGCAAATATTTCTCAATTAATTTATTTAATACAATGACAGTTTCGCGCTCATTTCTGGTTATATTGACTTCATGCCACGTTAGGTCATTTAAATTTTTACCTATCGTAACACTTTTTTTAGATTTATAATCTTCTGAACCATGTTGTACTGTAAACTCTAACTCTCCTTTGGTAAGCTGCAGTTTTATAAAGTTCTGTGATGTGGAAACTTTTGATTTACTATTGTCACTGTAAAGCAGCAAACCATAAGGACTGCTTGTTTTGAATCTAAATGTTAAGTCCCCGTACTGATGAGCAGGCCATTGTTTATATTTTATATATGAAGTCTTTAGATCAATAAATGTATAACCTTTTACTGAAAATAATAATGATGCCACAAATAACATTGTTAGTGAGTGCATTTTTATATTAATTTGCTAAACATAAAAAACATATAATTATAAACTGATATATGTAAAATTGCGTAAAAAAATTTTAAAAATTTCCCACAAAGATTTTACAAAATGTTTTTGGTTATCTTAAAAAGCGTAAGTGGGTTGCAGCTCCGACACTTACACCAGATATAATACTTAAAATTTCCAAAATCTAAATTTTAACGATATTCATTCTTAGCAACGAAATTTGATGGTAAAATCAACAGAAAATAAAACAATTCATTTGATGGAAGATTACTATCAAACAATGTTGTATTAATGGAAAAATATAAAATATATATTCTCAGCTACATGGCTGTTTATAAAAATGTTAGAACATAACGTTTATTAATGCAAAAGGATTAAATTGAAAATAGTCAAAAAGTTATTTAATAATAATAAAAAGTTTTATTTTATACATATATATAAAAAACAATTTGTGCCGCAAACGGGAAACTATATCCGTTGTCATGATTAGAAAATATTTTTAACGAATTAAAGAAAATTTCCTACCTGTACAAAACATTATAAAGACAAAATAGTCCATAAATAGAAAAACATTACAACTTTTGCTTTAAAGGAATTTTTAGATAAAACAGTCGACTTGACAATTAAACACCTTAAGACATCTTACAGATATGAATATTAAAAAAATTTAAATTTACTTAGAAGTTAGGGTAACCTTATAAATCTCTCATAAATTATAAAAAACTATTTTATGTAAAAAAATATATATTATCATAAATTATGAAAATGTTGAATGGACGGAAGATATAAAATAGTTATTTTAAAACAACTAAAAATGAAAATTTTGAATTTAAATTAGATAATATAAAAAGCATTTTCAAAAAAAAAATATATATATATATATATTATGTTTCTTTTTGATACTCTAGCTGTACCTAAATGCGAAAAGATGTATGATAAACAAAAGGTCGGTTATAACAACCTCAACTTCATTTGTTGTTATAACAACCTCAACTTCATTTGTTAAACAAACTTATTCTTTTTCATTTCTTTCAAATTAAAAAAAAAAAAGCAAAAGCAGACAATAATGATGACATAAATTGTTTTATTGCACAATCGCTTATTGTAACCTTGTAACAAAAAAACGACGTACATCAGTCATTCTTAAAACTTTAAAAAACGACCCTTAACAGAAATAAAAAAATACCACAAAATGGACATACGTAGCTAATCAGTTAAATACACTTTCAAACGTGTAAACAAAAAAAAGAAAAAGAAATCAAAAGGAATATTTAAAAGTTATTATTTTAAAAATATATATCTTTTCTTATTTTCAACAACGCGTTATTTAACAAAGTAAACACAAATAAAAGATACTTTTTGCATCTGGCTCACACACGTTTTATAGCAAGAAAAAGCAACACTACGGATAAATTACTTCAAGAATTTGATAAAGAAAGAACCCCCTTAGATTCTTTGAAACATATCGGCCATATATAATTTCAATTTATAATTCTATTAAATGAATAAACTTAATGATTATTATATTGTTAAACAATCTGATGAAATAAACTGAAAAAAATAAAAAAATAGTCGTGGTTCTTCCGGTAACGAAAAATGCCGTAGTGGAGTTTTTCTGTAAATAAAAATTTAAATAAGTTTCTATAACTATGACCTCTTCATACTATTATAAAAAAAGGACTGTTTTATACAATTTTAAGTCATGTAGGGGTTAAAAATATTGGTATCAATTGATGATAAACAATTACTAACTAATAATAGAATTCAAATACTCTAATTGTACAAATGAGGTTTGCTTACTTATCAGGAGGCAAAGAGAAAAGAGGGGCGGCCTTAATATTCAAGGCATCAAGTTAGTAAATTAAACTTTATTTCAAATGGGAATTTACCATTAAACTTTAGCACAAGATTATTTTTTCTTTCTTTAAATAAAAGTTTGTATGTTTTTGATTGTTTTATAATTGTTACTGATTAACAAAAAATGATTTTAAAACCCATAATTTTCGAACACGTCAAAGTAAGAAAAATTTTATTTACCATTACTCATTATATCGTTTAATTAAACAATATGAACTAATGACATATCACAATATGGAGCGTAGATAAAACACAACCGATAAATAATAAATTACTAATATTATACTCGCGAATAAATACAATTGCTTTCATTTAAAAATAGTTGAGCGCTTATTAGCCGGTAAACAGAATATTTTACCTTTGTACTTGTCCTTCAAGAAGGATAACATATACCGTTTGTTTAAAAATAGCATTAAACGCATTATTACAGGATGCATGCAATATGTTCTCGTCCTATCCGGTTGCAAGTTTAAGCTATCTTTTAGTGAATGTCAAAAATTTTACATTTTGTTAATAAGTCTTTGTACGAGATTAAAAATACTTACTTAGAAAATTATAAAATGTGCATATATATATATATATATATATATATATATATATATATATATATATATATATATATATATATATATATATACACTGTAGTAAAAAAACAAAAGTACCAAAGAAAAGTAAACTGACTATAATAAAAATAAAGATTTTAAATGCATAATTTCAAACATTTTCATGCAAATTTTCAAACATTTATCTTCTTATCGGTAAAAGTTCTAAAAGTTTTTATTATTGTTTTGCCAGGTTATGCTTACAATAATTCCAGTTAACAACATTAATTAATCAAACTCGTTTTACACTTTTAAGTTAAATCCTATTGGAGTTTGCTTAGCCAAATAAACTATAATATTTTTTCATTTGAACAAAAGTTAACAAAAAATAAAAGTACCAAAGATCAAATAAGAGATAATCAAACAATATATAGAAAGTTTAAGAACGCTAAAAATATCTTCATATCTTCATCATCTTCAATGAACCCATCATTTTTAATTACGAATGTCCATGCTTTAACTTGGATTTAATAATCTTTTTAATGCATTAAAAGTATTTCCTAATAACCAAAAGTATTGAGAAAGTTTTAAAATAAAATTCGTTTTAAAAGGATAAAGAATTCGTACGACATTATAAATTAGAGATCATGGAAAAATGTTAATAAGATTAGAGACGCATGTTAACGACATTCCTATAAAACTTTATTAAGGGGGTTTATAGTTTGTATATATTAACTGGGGGTTCTTGTGTTTTTCTTTAATGTATATTTAAAAGTACTTAAAACGTATTTAAAAAGTTACTATTTATTAAGCTTTAAAGAGTTTGGGGGGTTAAAGCATTTAAAAATATTTTTATTTCGTTTATGTCTTGTTTTAAAAACTATTGTAAACAAATTTTTTGTTATTAGCATAATAAATATTTTAAGTTAAATTTAATGGGGCACTTCTTATTATTATCTAGTTTTATGTTATAAAATACGAAAATTAAAAAAAAGAAGATAATATTCAGTTAAAAATGGTTATTTTATGTTAAAGGTTGTCAAAAAAGAAAGTTTAGCAGAAAAAGAAAAAATCTAACTGAATGCATGGAAAGTTATAAATTTGTGAGATAAATTTTTAAATAAAAAACAAAAAAAAGCTCTTGCCATAAACTATTTATACACGCAACTGTCTTTTTTATTATTATTTTTTTTTTGCTTAGACTTTTCCCTCTCTTGTCACTTTAGCACCACATCAATTACCAAAAAGTCCTGCAAAAAACTTGTAATTTTTATAAAACGGCGCACCAAGGGGGTTTGAATCAAACAAAATTATTACTAATTGTTTTTATTTTGCTTGCAAGAGAAAAACATAATTAAATTTTGTTTCTCGTATTTTTGAAAACGAAACAACAACGCGAATCAAATTAAAAGTATTTTTCTTTTTTTAATTTTCCTCGCTTCGTATATATTGTTTGGACTTAAATATAAATTTAAATATATCAATATTTAATATAAATAAATAATTAAAAGTTAAATATATAATAAAAATTTTTTAAAAAGAAGAATACTTTGATTTTCAACAATATCTTATACTTTCCAAATTTAATAATTACAAAATTTTTTTTGAAAATCAAAAAGCAGGAAGCCGTTAAATAATAAATTTTTTTTAGACAAGCTCTAAGGTTTATTGGTTTTTTTTTTTTTGACAAGCTTCTACTCCAAGGTTGATATTGGGAGTAGTTGGACAGGAGGCAGTAAATAAAGAGGAAGGAAAATATGTTGACAGTGGACACTTAAGAAAGTTGAGCCAAGCTTTTAGTTTTTATCTAAACTTTATCAGGTTTAAAGACAGATGTGCTAACTTTACAAAAAAGGTTGAGGCAACAAAGAAAATCAAGACTTCAAGTTGACAATGCTAGTTTGAACGATGTTTGTCGGGAAAATCATATAATTTTTATTAACAAAAAAATAATTTTGCACAAATTGCGACTGCCTCTAGACCGTAAAAATTGACTTTTTCATTTTGTTTTAGATTTTATGATTAGCCTAATTTTAAGTGAGTTATAATTTTTTATAGTTATAATTTTCTTTAGGATTTATACCCACAACCTAAACCGTTTATAATAAAAATTAAACTTAATAATTAAATAATAAAAACAATCAATTAGATAGCAACTAGACAGCAGTAACTTCAAAAAATAAAAGTTGTCGCATTATGTCTACACACTCACATACACACATACGCACATATAAAAGGTTGAGGCAACAAAGAAAATCAAGACTTCAAGTTGACAATGCTAGTTTGAACGATGTTTGTCGGGAAAATCATATAATTTTTATTAACAAAAAAATAATTTTGCACAAATTGCGACTGCCTCTAGACCGTAAAAATTGACTTTTTCATTTTGTTTTAGATTTTATGATTAGCCTAATTTTAAGTGAGTTATAATTTTTTATAGTTATAATTTTCTTTAGGATTTATACCCACAACCTAAACCGTTTATAATAAAAATTAAACTTAATAATTAAATAATAAAAACAATCAATTAGATAGCAACTAGACAGCAGTAACTTCAAAAAATAAAAGTTGTCGCATTATGTCTACACACTCACATACACACATACGCACATATATAGGGGAAAGCGGGGCAACATGGCGAACGTTTTGAAAGCCCTGAGTTATTGCAAAACTATCAGTCGTGAAGTAATAATACTTTCTGAGTATGTTTATGTTATTAAAATCCTTTATTGCCTGCATGAATTTTCTGTTTGCAAATATAACAATTTGAAATAAATATTAAAATACAAAGTTCATGAATTTGTCATCTGATCACGTGACCGGAGCAAGATGATTTATTATGCTATTTTTACCTCCAATTTTATAAAATTTTAAAACCTACCAATATCTCTAAATAAAGTAACAAAAAATAAACACAAATTGCAAAAACTACTTCTAAAGAAGTTAAACTTCCACCATTATGAGAAACTTTCGGTTTCTCATAATGGTGGAAGGACACCATCCATTATGAGAAACCGAAAGAGAGGAATTTTTTTTTAAGCGCAAAAAGTAAACTTATGCGTATAAAATTGCGTTAATAATATTTCAAAAAACCAATTGGTGTTTTAAAATACAAGATGCAAATACAGTTTTGTTTTCACCCAATTTTAAGAATTTTTGTTAAGTTGTTATATGAAAACCCATGTTGCCCCATTCGCCATGTTGCCCCGCTTTCCCCTATATATTAATATAATATGTATGTATAAATATACAAAA